TGAACTGAGATGAAGACAAAGATGGAAATTAAGATACTTACTCATTATTCACTCAATAGGTATTCATTCAGTACCTGCTAGGCCGGGCCCTGTCTTGGGCAGGATACAGTAGTGAAACAAAGCAAGTTAAGTTGCCTGTCTCTGTGGAGCTTACATTCTATCAGGAGACAGACAATAAACAAGCAGAATTAATAATTAAGTTATTTACTAAATTAAATGGTGATACAGGCTAAAAAAAAAAAAGAAAGAAAGTGTCACCCTAAATGCTGTATTGGAACTAGACTGTAGGGGTCAAGGATACAAGCAGGGAAGCAGTTTAGGGGGCTATGGCACTAATCCATTCAGAGAAGACAGCAGTTCAGACCTTGGTGGAAGCAGTGGAGATAGGGAGAATCGACATATTCTGCACATATCTTGAAGGGAGGGTCAGTAGGATTGCATGGGGGTGTAAGACAGGACTCAAAGATGATTACATGGTTTTTGGCCCAAACAACCAGAATGATCAAATTGCTATCAATTGACTAAGTTTGAGAAGACTTTAAGGGAGCAGCTTAGAAAACAAAAATTTAGCTCAGTTTCGACATGTTGAGTTGGAGAAATCCATCAAACATACACATGGAAATGTTAAGTAGGCAGTTAGATATTTGAGTGCACAGTTCCTATGAGAAGTCAGGGATGGACATCTGAATGTCAGGGCTTCAGCATGTGAGTGGCATTTAAGTCCATGAGCCAAGATAGAATGATCAAGGAAAGGAGTGTAGCTGAGAAGAAGTCCAAGTCCAATTCTTAGGGCTCTCCAACAATAACAGAGGAAAAACCAGCAAGAAACAGAACCACACTAGTTCCAGAGGAGTGACGGGGCAGATGGGAGTGGGCCCAAGAGAGAGAAGAAGCAGAGAAAGTACAGACAACACAACTCTTCAAAGGAGCTTTGCTACAAAGGGATGCAAAGATTAGAAATGCTTTTGGACAGAAAAGTCACAGGAAGGTCACTTTTTGCTACAATGAAAGGGATAACAGCACATGTATATGTTTGTGGGTTAGATCTCATAAAGAACAAAGATTGATAATGTAGAGGAGAGTCACTGGAGATGCCCTCGAGTGGCTGGCTTTAGACTGAAGCCCAATTAGAATGTTTAGTGTAAGATGAAGGCAGGCAAGTGTAGGCATGGATCTTGGTTGAAATGCATGCATGAGAGGGTAGAAATATCATAAAATAAGGATTTTGTGTGAACATGGGCAGTAGCTAAATATATTAAGGTGCTTATGTATAACAATTATACAGATTTTAATTCGAAGCCTAAAGCTACAATGAAAAACTAAGATTTACATTAACTAAAAATATATAATAAGATAATAGTAGTAATAAGAATAAGACGCTGTATTGATAACTCCAATTTAAAGTTTAAAAAACTAGGAAGTGAATGGTGAGGGGAGGCAGAGAATGAAAAAGTAAATGAAAATTGTTACATATTCAGGGATTTAAAGTCATTAGCCCTCAATGCTGGCAATTAGAGAAATATCTATCTCAAGACATATTTTATAATCTCAAAGACAAAACCTATAACAGAATATAAAGCAGAATTCTTAGCTCCCTAATCACTACTGAAGATTACTAATAAACAAAATCACCTATATCACCTGGAAATAAGTGAGGGTGGAGGAAATAGGAGTACTTAACAGTCAGAAAGCATAAAGAAAATGACACTAATGTCAATAGCATCAGTTATACAAATAACCTAATGTGTTAATTAACCCTTTTAAAAGACAAGGACTTTTAAGTTACCTACAAGAGAAAAGAAAAATATTTAATCATATGCTGCTTGTAAGAGACTCACCTAGAAGAAAATGGCCCAAAATTGTTAAAAACAAAACAGTGGATGAGCATATTGTAGACCAACTGACTTGTAGTGCCTCAGCGAGGGCGGGCAGTCCATTCATGAAAATTCATTTTGAAGCCACAGCATCTAATGCAGGGAAGATCCTAATGAGAGCCAGGAAAATCAGACTACCATGGTCATTATGAATCTTTCCATCTCTCTCTTCTGCCTCCTTGCTTTGATTCCCCCTGCTGTGCCTCTTATCTTTACCCAGAGGCCTCACCTGCCTGCCACTGTGGTGCAGGTAAGGTTACAGTTGAAGCTCTCTGACTCCGCACCAGTCCTTTCTTATATGACAAACCCATGGCCCAGCAGTGTTCTCTCTCTGCCACAAAAGATCAGGGAAGTTGTGGAAGTTGTCCGGCCCTTGTGCTTCTCCACAAACCAGCCTGCTAAATACATTGCTCAACCCAGAACCTGTGTCCTCAGATACACAGGCAGATGTGAACAGAGAAAGCATGGGGGCCGAAAACCAGACCAGATAATGCAGAAAGCCAAGCAAAGGTGTACTGTACGTGGGATCAAAGGGCCATTTTAAACGGATACAAGGCCAGCGCCACTACACTGAGGTCTCTAAGTTTTAGGGACCCAGTGACGGAGCATGAGTATCCATGAAGTGAAAACTGCCGCTGAATTACTTTCATCTCTCATATTCTATTTGTATTGTGACAGCCTCCCAGCCAGTCTCCATGCCTCCCCTCCTGACCCTCTCTAACCCCCTCTCACTAGTGAAGCCAGGACAAGAGTTTTAAGTGTACTCTGACCCTGATAAGAACCTTGACTGGTGTTCATCCCCTCAGTATAAAAAGCCAAACGCCTGAGCCTGGATAACCGCTGTGGTTCCCCCCACCCACCCACTGCTCCCTCCCGGCCTCATATCCCACTCCCCCTGCACCTAACCTCTCCCCCAAACTACAGGTGCTTCCCAGGACCCAATACCTGGTTTCCCCTCTAGCCATTGTGTATGCTGCTCTTTCTGCCTACAGTGGATGTCCCGGCCCTCATTTGTCTAGAAAATTCACATTCATCCTTCACAGCTCGTCAGGGACATCTTCTCCTCTAGAAATATTGCCGAATGCACTCTCAAACTGGGATAGGGACCTTCTTTCCTGCACACCACACCTTCCATCGTTAGCAATCAGCATCCTGTTATTCAGCTGCAAATGAACAAAGTTGTCTGTCATCTTCACTGAGCATTGAGTGTCCCGGTGATCGTGGCAGAGGCTAAACCTACGTAGTTGCCGTTTGGATGCTCAGCACCCAGCACAGTGATTGGCACCCTCTGGTTCCTCATAAATGTCTTAGAGTGAAAGAATGAATGGATAAGTGGACGAATGAAACACTTGGAAGAGGCACTGGTGAAGAGCTAGCAAAGGCCTTTAGCAGGAGGAGACAAATGGAGTAAGACCGCATTGGAGAAAAGGGGAGAGTCAGTAACTGAAGCCCTAGCGTTCTCTGAGTCTCCTGTTGAAGATTCTTCTGTTGAAGACTCAGAGCGGAAAGGTCGCTCTGTGGCTGCTGGAAATCTTCCAGGATGAGGGACACAGACTGACTCTCAAAGGGACAGAGCCAACCAGAATGGAGAGCATGTGAGGCAAGTTTAAGATCAGGACACCATAAAAATCTAGGAAATCTGGTCACTTGTCCCTGTAACTCACATCGGACAGGCCAAAGCTGCTCCCAGAATGAAGCCCCATAAGTTCAAAGGGCTCCTCTGAAGAAGCAGAGGCTAAGTAGCTAAGCAGCCAATTTCACTTTTCACTTTTCCTTTTGGGGACATGAATACTTGAAGGGAAGCAGACACCTGCATGCACCCACTGGGTGAATAAAGAAAGCTTCTGTCACCTGTGGCCACCCTCACTGTCACCGAGCATCATAACCTTGGGGCATCTGCTGAGGGCTGGCCACAGGAACACCTGCGCTCCTTCCTCAGGACAGGAGGAAGCCCACGTACCTATTCTCTACATTCCCCAGAGAGCCCTGCTCCACCCCTTCCCTTCCTCCTCCTCTTTCCCCCATCCCTACCCCTCCCTGCAGGCACACACACACACACACACACACACACACACACTCACGCACAGTCCAGCCCCACTCCTTCCCGACACACAAGCAGCTGCGTTCTCATAATTGGAATGATATGAGGTCTATTTATTTTGGGTTAAGAAGAAAATGTTTATAATTCACAAAGTCAATAAATAGTTTCCTAGCAACTTCTTGTGTAACTATTGTGAAATAATATATTCCCATTCTCAATTGCCCTCTCCCTCTCTCTCTCTCACATCTTCCCCCTGACTACCAAGGATTCTTTTTCTGTTTTAACTAACAGAACACACTGAGGGTTTGACAAACCTGGGAAAATCTCCTTAGGAAAATACATGTAAATGCAAACGTGTTTCACTCAGAATTCTGTATATACTATTCAAAGATCATAAGACCCCTGAAACCTACCCATGGCCTACACACAGGTGACATACCACTAGTTTGATATCTCTCTCATCCAGGCAAAGAAAAAAAAATGGCTGTGGGTGGTTATCCTGCAAGAATGTGATGAACTCAGCTCACTTCAAACTGTCCCCTCCACCCCTTCCCAGCATTACACATTCTAATTCCTAAACATCAGCGCTCCTGCCCAGCAGGATCTGATGTGCCTGCCTCTGCCTATATTCCCCCAGCTGACCAGCACTGGGGAAAGAGAACACGCTTCCCAACAACCTGAGAAAAATACCGTTAAGATCAGGCACCTCTGAAGCCTTCCGCCCAGTGGAAATTGCACTGCTGGCCCCCTCACCAGGCTCTTTCCACAGGCTCCGCCCCCACCGGGCGTTGACCTTGTGTGAATGACGGAGAGTCACAGCCAAGCACAAATGCTGGGCTGCCCTGCTCTCCCTCAGCCCTTAATGCAGCCCGAGGTTGACTTCACCGCTTCACGAGGCCCAGAGGCCTCATAAACGTCAGCTGGACCAGGGATAGCCTTAGGGCCTCGATCACTTCAAAGCCATCAAGTTGGAACATCTCCTTGATCAAGTCCTTTATAAAATGAGAAACATATGGAATAAAGGAAGATCTTCACAGTGATCGTTTAGTGTTTATTACATGCCAGGTGCTGGGTTAGATACTTACCCTGCTTATCTTTCTTTAATCCTCATAATCAACCTTCTACGGCATCACTTCAAGGAGTCGGTATGGTGTGGGGGCCGAACAGGCAGCTTCTAGGGACAGAGTAACCTGGCTGGAAGCCAGTCTCCGTCCCATACCAGCTGCGTGACTTTGAACAAGTTGTTTCGCCTCTCTGTGCCTCAGCTTCTTCATCTGTGAGAGGAGAACAGGAGGGTTTAAAAACATCTGTTTTGGGGTCGTCCTGAGAGCTGAATGAGCCAGTATATGTAAGGCATTTGGAATAACCTCTGGCAATAGCTAAGTGCTCAGGAAACATAGGCTGCTTCCTAGTTCGCAGATTAGGAAATGAAGGCCCAGAAAGGGAAAGTGATTCTCTCGAGGTCACACCCCTAACCTGCATCTCTAGCAGGTGATCTGAAGGACTGGGATCATAACCCATCTGTGATGCTTCCGATCTTGCTTGAGGGTCAAACCCTTTGACATGCTTGCCTTTTAAAGTCAGTCTTGATGACACAGCAATATTCCCATAATACTCCCACCAGAAATGCAAACCTGCATCTTATTATCAGGAAACATCAGATGAACCCAAACTGAAGGCCATTCTAAAAAAAAAAATAACTGGCCGGTGCTCTTGATGTGATGGTCCTGAAAGCCAGAGCCGGAGGCTGTCCGGACTGCAGGAAACTAAGGAGGTGTAACAATTACACTTAACACATGACCCAGGATTGGATTCTGAATCAGAAAATGGTTTTTTTTTTTCTTTTGCTAGAAAGGACCTTAGGTCAGTCGGCAAAATTTGTACAAGGTCTGCAATGTTAGAAATAACATTATGTCAATGTAAATTGCCTGATTTTGATCCTTATAAGAGAATGCCTTTGTCTCTTAGGGAAATATATACTGAAGTCTTTAGAGATATAAAGACATCATGTCCGCAACTTCCTCTGAAGCACATCAGAAAAAGAGATGACAATGTGTAGCAAGAGAATGATGAATAAATGTGGTAAAGTGTTAACTTCTGGAAAATCTAGGTGAAGAATATTCAGGAATCTTTATGCCATTCTTGCAACTTTTATGTAGATTTGGAATGACTTCAAAAGAACAATGCTTTGAAAAAAGAAACATAAAGAATCAATTTCTTCACTGTCAATGATTTTGCCCCTAAGCATACAAAGTATGGAGCAGAATTTCTCTCACCCAGAGGCACAACTTCAGTCCAGAGAAGTCATCCTTGGTGATGTTAACAGTAGATTTGCTTTTCCAAGAGAGAAAATACTCCTAAGCCATCCACTTTATATAAAAAGAGAGACATTTTAAAATTAGAAGATGTCTAATTCTCTCCTAAGAGGGCATCGTAATTCTTCACCCCTTTCCCCACTCCTAAAAAATGCCCATAGCTATACTCATCATCTGACACCCACTTACAAAACTCTTTTTTGTCTGCCAGATTTTCACAGGCTTCTAAAGAATGCTGTGAATTTGCTGTTGCTGAATGTGGTTCATATGCGCAAAAGTCCTCAACCCCTTTTTCCATCCACGCTTTCATCATCCATGCCCTTTGCTCCAATAGGCCACTTAAAAACAGAACCAGAGAACCAAGGAGGGAATGGCAGAGGCTAGAGGGGAGGCTGCACTTCACTCAGGCAGCAAGCATTCGCTTAGTGAGCATCAACTTAGGGCGGCCAACTGGGCCAGAAACCCAGGACAGGAGGCAAGCCTGAACTGCCCTCCCAGAACTGGCACTGGGGAGAAGAAGTGGGAGATGCTAATCAAAACTTACAGATGGTTCCCAAAGGGGAGGCACTGGGTGCTGAGCAGCCTGGGCTATAGAAGAGGAGCCAACTTCCTCTGCCCAGGTCAAGGGAAAGCTTACACCAGGAAGGCCACATGTTAATTAGAGCAGAGGGAGTTGGGTGGTACTGTCATCAGATTTGCAGTCGGACTGCAAATCTGGTACTGTCATCAGATAAAAAAAATCAAATAAAAAACATTTAGAGGGATGAGGTGGGAGGAGGAAAAGGAATGTTTTTCACTCATCAAAGTATAAATATCCATACTTACTCAAAATAAAACAAAACAGCACTGTCGTGGGATTGTAAAGTAGTGTAACCACTATGGAAAACAGTATGGAGATTCCTCAAAAAATAAAAAGTAGAATTACCATATGATCCAGCAATCTTACTTCTGGGTATACACCCAAAAGAATTGAAAACAGGGCCTCAAAGAGATATTACACACCTGTGTTCATAGCCACATCATTCACAGTAGCCGAGAGGCAGAAGCGACCCAAGTGTCCATCAACAGATGAACGGATAAAATGCAATCGAGATATACAATGGAATATTACTAAGCCTTAAAAAAGAAGGAAGTCTTGTCATGAGCTACAACATGGACAAATCTTGAGAACATGATGCTAAGTGAAATAAGTCAGTCACAAAAAGACAAATGCTGTGTGATTCCACCTATATGAGTTACCGAAAGCATCAAATCCATAGAGACATAGTAGAGTGGTGGATGCCAGGGGCTGGGGAGAAAAGGGGGTGGGGAGTTATTATTTAATGAGCTCAGGGTTTCAGTTTTACAAGATGGAAAAATTCTAGATATCTGTTTCACAACAATGTGAATATGCTTAACACTACTGAACTATACATTTAAAAATGGTTCAGATGGTAAATTTCACGTTATGTGTTTTTTACTGTAGTAAATAAATCTCATGTTATGTGTTTTTTACCATAATAAAAAAAAAATTTACCACTAACGTTTCACCCAAATCCAAGTAATTCCTGCCAAGCAAAACGTTTAGAGGGATGATAGCAATGATGGCTAAGCAATTAATGTCCTGATAGTTTTCTGTGTCTAACTTGGCCACCAGAAACAAAAAAGTGGTTTCAGCAACCCAAATTCATGATGCATATGTAACTAGTTTATCAAAAATATTGGATTCAGTAGGATTCTAAGTAGAAGACAAGTTTAGTCTTTCAAAACTTTCCTAACAGCTTGTACACACCTCCAACCTGTGAACCCCTAGATTGGGGTTTGGCAAACGATAGTCCATAGGGCATATCCAAGCCTGTTATTACAAATGAAGTTTTATTGAAACACTGCCACATTCATTCATTTATACTCTGTCTGTGGCTGCTTTTATGCTACAAAGTTAGAGTTGAGTAATTGCAACAGAGACCCCATGGCCCACAAAACCTAAAATGTTTGCTGTCTATCATTTTACAGAAAAAGTTTGCCAACCCTGCCATAGATGATATCTTTGGAAGAGCCTTTAGCTTTTCTGCTTACTATTAGCTATTAACCAGGAGTCTCATTTTCCAGGTAATACAAGTCCACCCTAGTCTAATATCAAAACTTAATTTCTCATCCAGCATAGTCTTCCCATCCCTTCCCTACCACTGCAGCCTCCACCGCTTTCTGTCCTGTCACATGCCACTCAAGCCAGCTTCTCACCTTTACTTCTCTAGGCCAGAGTCTGGCAACAGTCTCTGGATGTCCCGAAACATCCAGGCTTCCCAAAGTTCTCCTAAGAACTCTCTAGTCACACTCCACCAGGCCAGCGGAGGCCTGGAGTCCATGAGTTTGCACAGTTCAGCCAGCACGGGGGCGGTAGGGACGTGTTTGACTCCTTCCTGGTGGAACTCCCTGTTCTCTGCAAAAAATTCTCTTTAAATCCCCCTTCCCTTGGCCTAAGATGGAAAGGGAATTCCTGGTCTCTGACAGCTTTCTGCACAGAAACCCTCCCCCCCTTTTCTCCATCTGCCTCCCCTTCTCATGGACTGTCTAGCAGAGTGGTGCCCTTTAACTTGTGGAAGCTGATGCTAACTCCAGGTAGTTGGTGTCAGAACTGAATTGAATTGTAGGGCTCTCACTTGTTGTTGGAGAATTCATGTTAGATTGCACTCATATAATCATCACAGATATATTATTATATATATATCATTTACATATATTTTAGAGAAGAGAAACAGACTGAGAGTGATTTTGCATCCCCCTGATCACATAGCAGGAAGCAGTAGAACCCAAATTTACACTCAGGTTTCTCTCTAAAGCCTGAGCTTTAATCCAGGGTGAAGGTTCAGCCCCCCACCAGGGGCTACCATTTCCATTTTGTGCAATGGAACGACAGCCCTGCTGTTGTGCAATGCAGAGCTCCATAACCACTTCCCTCATGCTGGTCAGACTCGCCTGATCATGAATCACCTGGAGCATTTATTAAAAATAGGGATTCCTGGACCCTTCCCCTGAAGATTCTGATTCAGTAAGTTTGGGGTGGAGCCTGGGAGTTTTTACTTTCAACAAGCTCCCCAGGTGATTCTGACAATCAAGCAAGTTTGGCAATCACTGCATTGCGCTGCACTCACCAGCCTGCTTACTCAGGTTATGGATCTGCCACAGAACCCCACCCCTCTGGTGCCCAGGTTTGGTCTGGGTACCTGACACCTTCCTATGCAGAGGTTCTAAGAGCTGGAGACAATCTTTTCCAGCCTTCACACTATCACTCAGTCTTATGCTTGGAAGAACTTTAATCTATCAGGCAATGTGACTCCAACTCAGCAGGGCCAAAGCCAACCCCATCCACAACCCCACTCTCACTTCCTGCTCTACCCCCTACATTCTCTAAGTCAGCAAATGACCCCTCACCCACCCAGACAGCAAGGCCAGGAATCCTTGACACATCCTTGCTCCAACTTTCTCCCTCACTCCTCATTTCCTGATCACCGTTTCCTGGTAATTTCTTCCTCCTACGTAATACAAATCAGCCCCTCCTTTCCTTTCCCACTGCCTAGATGACATCCCACTCCATTTTTCATCCAGACCAGCGTACTGACAAGGCTTTCTGCCTTCATCCTTTGCCTCTGCTCCCTATATGACACCCACCAAGAGGCAGATTGCATATAGCAAAGATGATTCCAATAATAGCCCCTGTCTCACATGTCCTTCTAGAACCTTACCACTATCCCATCAAAAAGTAGGGTCTAATTCCCCTTCACTTGAATATGGGTACAGATCTGTGACTATTGAATGAGTAGAGAATGCCTGGTGCTACATGACATCTAAGGCTGGTTCCTGAAAGGTGATTCAGATACCACTTTGCCCACTAGGACATTCTCTCTTGACACCTTCAACCTCCATCCATGCCTCCACACTAGGAGTCAACTGCCCTGAGACCACCAT